ATTATGAAAAGTATGCGGTTTCCAGCGCATTTAGTGCATTTAATTGAAAATCTTTATCATGAACAACAAGCAGCCATCAGAGCAGCTGGTGAAACATCTGATTGGTTCAAGGGGCAAAAAGTGGTGAGGCAGGGGTGCATTCTTTCACGATACGTATTCAATATATACGCAGAAAATATAATGAGAAATGTCAAAAATGACCAGACTCGTGACAGTTATGATCCGCTCAAAATTGGTGGCAACCCTATTCCGGAACTTCGCTACGCAGATGACACAGTCTTCCTTTTGAACAGCATAAAGGGAATAGGAAAATTTAATATTGTCTGTCCAAAAGCACAGTGAAGATCAGAATCTGTTCTTGAATTTAAAGAAAACGAAAATAATGTCCACAGATAAAACTGGCTGTCACCAAAAAAATAACAATAAATGGTGAAGAAATTTAAAATGTCACAAACTTGGAATATCTAGGCTCTATAATAAACAACAATGGAGACTGTTCGACAGAAATTAAAAGGAGGATGACCATAGCAATGCAAAGATTGAACAACCTTAAAAGTCTATGCTTACGCACCAACAAGGAGATAAAAATTAGAATTCTGAGAGCATGCATCTTCCCTGAGGCTACATACAGATGTAAGTCGTGGACTATCTCTCAGTCCTTAAGAAAGAGAATAGGGGCCTTTGAGCTGAAATGCTATAGAAAGATTCTCAAAATATCTTGGACAAAGAAGAGGAGAAATATTGACATCTTAAAAGATCTGAACATCAAGGAAGATTGGCTAATAAACAACATCCTTTCTCGGAAGTTGAAATATTTTTGTCATATCAAGCGCCACGACGGATTGGAAAAAAATTATAGCAGAAGGCATGGTACCAGGAAGGAGGGGCAGGGACCGACCGACACGAAGATGGGCACAGGATATAAGTGACTCCTTTAGTATGAAAGTGCATGAGGCGGGAGAACTGGCGAGAGACCGAGTTTCTTTCAGGCAGACCGTGATGAGAGCGACGTTCTGTAAAGGACCTGCTATATGCTGATGATGGGGCGTCGCTGGTCGACCTAGCCTAAAATGGGTACCGAGATGTATGTCCTGGGGAAGTAATGCTGACGGCCGGAGTAATGCTGACCACATTACCCATCTAGTGACGATTAGTTTGTAAAAAATATGGGATACTCTTCCCATATGCCTAATGCTCCTATTGCGTGAAAGGGGATCTTTACTTTACACACACGCAAACATATTAGCATACGCATATGAACTGAAGATACTAGTGTACACACAGACTAACAGACATGCACACGCATTCTCTGTTTCTTTCTTCTAATCGTCTACTGCGTTCATCCAAAGATGTAACTGCGCTGCGTCCGTTTAGAGTAAGGCTGCGATATTTGCGGATTTCGGCCAATGCATCCGACTTCTGCGGGCATTTGTTGACCGGGTTAGCCTTCCCATGTTTCTCTTAATCTCTCTCTCACACACATTCTATTTCTCGCTCTTTTGTGTATATATATATATATGAATGTATATATATTTACTAAGGATTCGAATCAGGGTCTCCCGCGTGAAAAGCTAGCTTTCTATCCACCATCTTACCATCCAGTTTGCAAAACAGTCGATCTTCTTCTAAGCACTCACGGGCTGTAAAATCTGATGGTAAAGTCCTGACTGTTCGTCCACTTCTTGATTTTGGTTTTGAGTTTTGTGTGCACATCTGTTTTACATATCTGGCTTATCGCTATGCAGCTTTTGCTTTTCGCCTTTGAAGTAGATGCACTTCTACTTCGAAAAAAACACCCATCTTTAGTTGTCTATCACAACATGTTTTCTACACGGGCACTGATTCAACCCCCCTCCCCCAAATGGGGCCTGGAACCTATTCGGAATTAAATGCAAGACTTCAGTTTTGGGAGCTGATGCAACCCAGGAGGTATGTTTGCGCCAATCCTGGCAGCCTCGAAAAAGAGTCTGTATTATATACATCTCCCTCTACCCCCTTACAACTCTACTACTGTCACGTGGTACTCCGGTTTTCTGCCACCCCACACATGATCAAAGAATGTAGGTTGTCTCTTCCTGATGTGGGCAATCAGTTCTCTTCATGAGCAAGTTTCAGTCAAGACGTCTTCATGACTCTCTTTATCTGTCCAGGGTATTCTCATCATCCGTCTATAAAACCACATCTCTGTAGCTGCCAAATAATTTATGGGTGGGGGATACATGAACCCATCAACTAGGCGGTCATGAACTGGAGTCAGCATAATGCTTTTTTTTCTCTCAAAACTCAGATTGGCTCCCAGTCAACCTAGTCTAAAATAGACATTAGTCTTGGGAAGTAAAGCTGGTGACATTACCTACTGAGGGCCGTCTGACGTATATGAAATTTAAAAAAAATAAAAAGATTCTAGCATTATATGCTAGAATGCCACTTGTGCAAAAAGGGTCATTTACTTACTATAACCACCCCCCCACCCATAATCCCTTTTTTCAAAGCTGTACTCCCTTATTGTCAGCGTCTGTGGCTTAGGCGCTGCGAATGCACTTCGTAATGCCCGGGTTGATCCCAGCCGCGGGGCTTGCTTTGGTTTCGATAGTGGTATCGAGAAGCCGATCATCCAGAAAGCAATGGCAAACTACTGGACGTAAATTTGACTAGAAAACCCACAACAGCCAAAAAAATTTAGGGGTTGGTTCTGCAACATCCTGTAAAGGATACACAACTAACTAACTCCCTTATTCCCTGCTCAAGTTGTACTCCGTGCTCCCCCCTTCCCTTAAACAACATTCTCTTACTGCTGAGGACAGAGTTTGGACCACTAGCTTGGTAATTATTTATCTTTCACATTCAACCTTAGATGGACAGGTTGGCATGCTATGGTCTACAGCTAGGCTGTGATATCTGAGTCTATCTGCTCAGTATTTGATTTCAATAAATCTGTAATTAGATCGTCTGTTACCAGAGGCTTGTAAAGGTGTATTAGATCATTGAGCAATGTTCTTCAAACTTTGTTCCGCGGACTACCAGCGGAAGTGTCTTATTGCAAGCAATTATTTGTATTAAATGACTTCCAATTAGTTGTCATGTAAGGCCCCCATGACAACCCTAATGGGACCCATGCGGCCCTCAGTCTGCCATACCTGAAGCTGTGGCTACAGGATTCTGGTACAACACAGCTATAAAAATTTTCCAACATCTAAGATGTTGCCTTAACTGAACATTTTTATTTTGTGACATCAGATTTAGCCAGTAAACTGCTCTCTACATTTTCCTGTTTGTTAACTGTCAGCTAGTTCACGATCAGATCTTACAGTCTCTCAAAAACAATACTACATGGCTCAGTAGGGGCAGACCAAGAAAGACCTAGATACAGAACTTGACTGACTGGACAGGCCTTAAGATGCAGCCACGAAGTCCACCTTATCTGATCATCAAAGGTGTAGGGAGCTGATCAGTCAACAGCAACTGGTGACCTCATGACATGCAGTGTTACGGAAGAATGATGTCAGGGGAAACAATTTCCCCTGCTTTGCAAGTCTGCGGGTGTTTAAAAGCTAAAAGAAAAACTCTGATCTCTGAAGAACAACTCAAATATTGGGGAACCCAGAGCAGAGTATAGAAACAGAAAATTCAGAACACAAAAACAAACCAAAATAAATGCAGAAAGCAGGAAGGATATAAAATTATAAATATATTTCACCAGGACAGTTCATGTGGTAACATTTTTGACGTGGAAATAGAGAAACAAAAAATATCATTAAAAGTCATCAGAGTGAAGTTAACAAAAAAATATAACAAGATCATTTGTTTCTTTATACTGTAGGTTTGAACCAGCAAACCCTAGTTCAAATCAGGAAATAGCATTACCACACCACCACAGATCTATCTTCAATTAATAAAGCACTGTTACTTCACAAGAACTCCCTTCAGGTATTAAAGTTAAGGGCAAGAGGATCGACTTTATTGCACCAGGTTTTATCCCATATGGCTCAGTCTTTCTCCGCAGAACAGATGGCCGCGTGCCAAGCATAAACTCCGTAGCTCCAGCGACTTTCCCCAGGGATCTCATGAATTGAAGGGTGCAGCCGCGAAACAAACCCACTACCTTGAAAGCCGAGGCAAACGACTTGAACACTTTGCCATGGAGACCACCAAGATCTCAGCCATTTTCAGATGAATCTACCTGTCCAATTTAAAAAAACTTGTCGTCAAATAAATGAAAAAATCTAGATCACCAACTATCACTGACCTGTGAAGTTACATAGAATTGAGCAACCATATCCACACAAACAGAATGTTCCATACAGGACATTCCAGACTACTGAGTAGGAAATTCAAAAGCAGATTTTTAATAGGGCATTCAATAGATATTTAGTAAGACATACAAGATGAGATAATTCCTTAATCTGTGTGTGTGTTCTTTTTTAAAGATTAAGGAGGACATTTATGGCTAAAAAATTCAGTAGGATATACAAAGCATCATCTAGAATAATGGTTCCCAACCTGAAAGCCCCAGCACCCCACCCCCCCCCCCTTCCCATATTTTGGGCCGAACAACCTTTATACAGGGATCGCCTAAGACCATAGGAAAACACATTTTAATTAAAGTTATGAAGGAAAATAATTGTCAGTGGGTGGGCACAACATGAGGGAACTGTCTGAAAGGGTCGGCACAACATGAGGGAACTGTCTGAAAGGGTCGGCACAACATAAGGGAACTGTATGAAAGGGTCGGCACAACATGAGGGAACTGTATGAAAGGGTCGTGGCATTAGGGAGGCTGACAGCCACTAATCTAGCAGGACATTTGAGAGAATATACAGTAGCACTGTCCCGCTGAAGGATTCTAATTTAACAGGACAGTCATGAGAACATCATTCAGCAGACATTCAAGGAACAACAACTAAGCTGAACATTCAAAAGACCACTGAAGCAGGATATTCCACAGCCCACAGGGTTTCAGTCGCAAAACATACAAGCAATGATACTATCTGTCTGTGTAATTATTTCTTTTTCTTGTCAGGAGCCTTTGTGTTCAACTGTAGGCCATGCATGGATTTGATCTCATTGGCCAGAGCCTGCAGGAAGCAAAAGAAACGAGTGAATACACCAGCAAACTTATCCACACAATGAAAAAGCAGTGTATAAGACTAGCAGTATGTGCATTTGTTTAGCTCCACAGGGACCAATACAATCCATCAATAAACAACCATAATGAAACTACACAAGTGCCTGCAAAAATCTTTCTCAATAACAATTAATAAATTACCCTTAAAAATGAACAGAAACAAATAACAACTTAGATTACCATAAACAGCCTGTCGCAAATTATGCTTTTAAAAACAACTATAAATAAATTACCTGCTAAAACTATCCATAAAAAAATAACCACAAACAAGCCAACCTTCACAAACAATAAAAATTCCATACAAATATCAGAAACAAAAACCACCGTCACAGATGACAACAAACACATTAAACTTCATAAACTACTAGAAACAAATTACTATAAATAAAATGACATCAAACGGGCACAAACAAGATGATACCCTTCAAAGATGACATACAAACAAAAATTAACCTTTACAAATGGCCATACATCAAACAGTTTCCCCCACAGACCGATCACATTTCACTGTTAACAAACCCCAATTTAACATCTAAAGGAAGTAATGAGAAGGTAAACCAAATACATAAAATGCAACTTGACATATGAAGGAAGTAATGGGAAAGTAAACCAAATACATAAAATGCAACTTGACATATGAAGGAAGTAATGGGAAAGTAAACCAAATAGATAAAATGCAACTTGACATATGAAGGAAGTAATGAGAAGGTAAACCAAATACATAAAATGCAAATTAACATATGAAGGAAGTAATGGGGAGGTAAACCAAATACATAAAATGCAACTTAACATCTAAAGGAAGTAATGAGAAGGTAAACCAAATACATAAAATGCAACTTAACATATGAAGGAAGTAATGGGAAGGTAAAACAAATACATAAAATGCAACTTAACATCTAAAGGAAGTAATGAGAAGGTAAACCAAATACATAAAATGCAACTTAACTTACTATGAAGATGCAACAGCAAACTAAAAATTGAAAACAATAACTGAACAGTTAAAATAATCTAGAATCAAAAATTATTTTCAAGTAATTTGCCGATCCTTTACAGGGTGTTGCTAACCAATTCCAGCACATGTTGTTGTGTGGTTTTACTAGACAATTTTATGCTCAGTAGTCTGTTACATCCTCATGCTATCAATGCTATAGCACTGACGAAATCAACACAAAGATTTCTGCTGTCACATGACTGCTGTTAAATGGAATTCTGCATATTCAAATTATCCCTTGCCTCCCTAATAAGCATTTCGTAACAAGTGACTAATTAGGGATTTACTTTATATGGGTGTGTTGGGTCAAAAGGTGCAAATATCTCAGTCTAGCTGTAAACCACAAAATACCAACTGCATTTAACTCTTCAGTGTTGGAACCAAGAAAAAAATGAAGCCAAGCACTTGTGCTTCCCAGTTTGGTGGATATTTCTAGGAAACACTCCTTGGAAAAACAAACACTATAACACAGTGAGGTGAGTAATCAATAAAAACAATTACAGCATAGAATCAGCTAGCCTACATCTCTTAGGGGCCTGTAAACTTACAGCAGGGCATTTAACCGACTCTGTGGCCTAAGAAGTAGAAATTCTATAAATAAAGCCCCCCCCCCCCTTTTTTTTCCCCTCACATGCTATTTTGTATAGTCAATTTAGTCATCCCATGTCACAGCGAACATTTTCACAGATGCGAGTCAGGAATGCAGCTTTGATGGGAAAATGGTACTAACCGCAAGTGTAGGTTTTATAGCTTCTCTGGGTGAAAGAGTTACGAACAGCCAAAGAAGAACAAACTTTATTCACCCTGTCATGAACATTAACGGAATCAATATAGCCAAAGTAAAATCTGAACTCACCTCATTCACAAGTCTATGCTGTTGAACAGTCTTCAACCCTGTGAATGCCGGAGCCTCTATAGAAATCTGGTACATGGCACCACAACCGCCTGTCAGAATACAAAACCAGATATTGTCATAAGCAGGTAAATTGTTCAGTGTTTCACTCATTCTGATATGTTAAATTCTGAATTAAGAATCAACATCAAAGCCCTCAGGACACCCCTAAAAGCATTCCGTCCCCATCTTTAGCAGCAAACAAAGAGTTCCAATTCCGATGGCACCAATAATTGTATGATTGTATATCTGTCTGGCCCTTCCCTTGAGTGCTGAGCGTCAGCCAGATCCCCTAGTAACTCCCCACAGCACCATTTTGTGTACACATTCTGATATACACACAGCTAATGTGTACACAGTCTGGGTGGAGAACACACAAAGTAAGCATGTCCATTTTGCAGATGACATTGTACTGCTAAGTAAAATAGTAAGGATGTCAATTTTGCAGATGACATTGTACTGCTAAGTAAGAAAAGTAAGAACTGCAATATCACACCCCAAAAAATTATTTATATCGCAAAAAAAATATAAAAAGTTGGATTACAAATCAGTTATAAAAAGACAGTTATAAACAGTTGAAGGAGAAAAAACACTGGAGAGACACACACAATAGTAAATATGTAACTATTACATAGCTGTAATTGGAGGCAAATTCTACAAAAATGAAGAACTAAGAGAAACATCTGGGCAGTTGCCTTCATCAACAATCAGAAGAAATATAAAACAGGGCTTGCAGTGCCTCCCTCGAAAGAAAAACGAATACAGAAATCAACAGAAGATGTGCATAAACAAATATAAATACTGGGACGACTAAAACCACCTCTGACACAAGAGAACTATGCCCACCAAGATAACCTTTTTTTGTGTGCCAACTCTATTTTACCAGTGTCAAATGTGGGCCCTTATCACAACTGATGAGTTTTCGATTATTAGAAAAGAGACGAGATGTAACAAGAGAAGATAAAATTTTAAATGAAGAAATGAGAAGAAACCTGTCATACAATTCATTAAAGATCAACAGACGAGATCGTCTTGCCACTGGCGAGAATGCCCTGGTACCAATGACCACAGATGAATACACAGGAAAGTAAAGATCATAAAAAACATGCAAAAACCTTAAAGAAATGAAGATCAACTTCAAGGACTCATTAGAAAGAGCATAGGTCATGGCAGTGACCAAAGGAGTAACATAGCTGGAGACAGATTTTTCACTCAGGCATGTTTTCTCAGTGACACAATGAGTACGTTCAGGAAGACAAAGATAGGTTGGGTCCAAAGATAGTGGTTATTGTCTCTGAGGCAGTGACAGCTCACGAAGATCAGTTTCCTTTTCGTGCCAGGGAATGCGGCTGTACAAGGAAATGAGCAAGCTGATAGGCCTGCCGGTAAGGCTACTGTGGGAAAAAGGGGGGGGGGGGGATATGATGAGCCATAGACCATGACTAAATACTGAATGCTCTATGAGAAGTACTTGTGAGAACTCTGAATCTGCAGAATCTGCAACCATAGTCAGACTGCAAGAACAACAAGTTAAACAGGATCAAACAGAAGCACTAAGCAGGAAGCAAAAGATAAGAAAGAAGAGTTACAGGGGTATACAGAGGGACACGATGATGCTGACAGAGAGAGAGAGACACAGATGATTAGACCACCTAACACAGTTTCTATTAGTCAGATATAGTCTGACGAGAAAGAGAGACCAACCCACGCAACAGCAGTATTCTGGAGGCCCCAAAACAAAAAGGGAATTTTAGAGGAGGTCGCCCAATAGATTTGAAAGGAGGTGCCCCGGCCATTTTAGAGTATCTGACCCTTGACCGAACAGGAGGTGGTCCATTATTTTACTGGTACATCGGATACCTGAAGAGTAGGAAAAGCTGCACTTGTGAAAATTTATCTCAGATATCAGATATTTGAAGAGTAGAAAAAGATGTGCTTGTGAAAATTTACCTGAGATATCAGATGCCTGAAGAGAAGGAAAAGCTGTACTTGTGAAAATGTATCTCAGATATCAGATACTTGAAGAGTAGAAAAAGATGTATCATGTACTTGTGAAAACTTACCCGAGATATTAGATACCTGAAGAGTAGAAAAAGATGTATCATGTACTTGTGAAAACTTACCCGAGATATTAGATACCTGAAGAGTAGAAAAAGCTGTACTTGTGGAAATTCACCTGAGATATTAGATACTTGAAGAGTAGAAAAAGACGTACTTGTGAAAATTTACCTGAGGTATCAGATACCTGAAGAGTAGAAAAAGCTGTACTTGTAAAAATTAACCCAAAATATACACCTAAAAAGAAGCTGTGCTTGTGTGACAACTTACCAGAGATATCAGATACTTGAATATCAGAAGCATCAGGAAATGATTCACGAAGCTTGGCAATGATCTTCTGCTCCCCAACTGTAAGATCACTACCCAGGGCCTCGCCTTCACCAACCCCGGTCGACAACGGATGTAGTCTCAGGGTATAAATAACAGGAATTCTAAGAGCACATCTGAACTGTGAAAGAAAAGTAACTTGAATGCATTCTCCTCTATGTTTTTACAGTTTCATAATAATAAAATATGTATCAATCACAAAATAAGAAAAATGCCTATTCAATAAATACATGTCAATGTCTTAATTCAGTGCACTGGAAATAAGATGCCATGGACCATGTTGCATGAGTGGAAAGGGGGGGGGGGGGGGGGGAGAGAGAGAGAAAATGATAACAGACAATTAGTATCTGAGAAGAAGCATGCTTAATAGTCATACATGCGATGCAACAATAGTCCTTAATCATATGCTGTGTGGAAGGCTTGTCTTAACATAAGCAGATCTTGCTAGTCACGCACTATCACTAAGTAGGGTGATTCCCATACCTCCCTATAGCACAATATATCAGAATTGTCTAAAAAGACCGAGAGGTGGCAACAAAAAACAAATTCAGTGTGTCTATTCCCATCGTATCTATAGCAAAGGCAGCATTTTATTAAGTGAAGAAGATTCTATGGGTACTCCTGTCAAATCCGGACGAAGACTAAAAAGCCTTGGACGACTTAGTCAGAGTTCTCTCCCGTGGCCGCACTCCAAACAGTGATCGGAAAAGCCACAAAGAAACAAAGAAGACAGTCACGTTGACATCAGGGCTGCCAATGCTTGGTTGTTTCCCCCAGATCTGGGTTTTTTTTCGACGCTGCAGTACAAATCTGTTTTTTTTTTGGGTGTGTTTTGTTTGTTGGTTTTTGCCGATTTGTATGCTTTAATGATCGATAAATTTGCGTGGTTAGGGGTAGGGGTTAGGGCTAGGGAGTAGGATTAGGATTAGCGGTAGGGTTAAGTTTAGCGTTATATTTGACAATTTTGACGCCGGAGTTCCCTATAATTGCGCACAGTCCCATACACACACAAACAATCGAGGGCCTCTGGATGCTAATCAAACGCACAATTCGCCAACGATTGGGGGCACCAGCCGCACGCTATTGGCGTCATATTTGGCAGAGTTTCAGTGGCGCCACTCCCACAAACATCAGATTGTCGGCCAGTATTTCGAAATCCAACGTCAAAATTTTCACATCTAACCCTAACCTAACCCTACCCCTAACTCTAATCCAACAACCGCATGATGATGACTACACAACCATTCACACTGCCTCACGCAACCCTGCACGCAACCATATGATGATGCCATGATGCCTCACTCAACCTACGCAGCCCTACACGCAACCGCAGGATGATAGCTAAGTGTGTCGTTTGTTTCGTTTGTTTTCCGATCACTGTTCGCAGTGCGGCCACGGGAGAGAACTCTAAGTCGTCCACGTTTATTCTTCGTCCGGATTTGACAGGAGAGCCGATTCTATGTAATCTTTGAACTTTGATTCTTTGTTTGTCAACTGAGACGGGAAAGAGAAATCTCAAGTGCTATATATTGAATATATATTATATATATATATATATATATATATATATATATATATATATATATTGGTGTGAATCACCATTAATCCTGTCATATAGATGTGAATCATCATCAATAAATAATCATGGACAGTTGGTCGATTATTATATAATATTATACTTAGTACTCAGTGAAAAAATTAAGTTGAAGCTGCAGAGATTCGGCTTTATAGTACTAATAGTAAATACAGACCAATGATGACAATCTTTGGACTTTCCATAAAAAGAGTAATTATTGAAGATGTCTTGCAACTGAAAGAAACTGCCTTGACTTAACTTAAGGTAAGACAGGTATTATATTATTTACAATGACAGTCCTATACTGATACTGTGTAGACAAACGGAATTTCTCTGGTGATATAAAGCGTGTGGTCATTATTAGTATTACGGTTTGGGTAATTCCTGAGAATATGATTAATTATACCATTATTTAATTTATAAAATACAAAACGGCAGCCAGAAATGAAAAATGTGACACCGCAAAGTCAAAAGTGATAAAGAATAAGACAGTAAAGTAAATTAGAACTAGAAATAAGAAAGGTCATGTCATGTCTCAGTTGAGTCACAGCAGTCTCAGCCTGATATGGTCAGGGACCCAAACTGAAAGCAAAATTCTAATTAATTTATAATTAAAAGATAACAGCCGACAAACAGAGAAGAAGCGCATTTACTTGACCAACGAAACGTGATATAACCCCATGCATTTTGCTGATAATTTCTTGAAAATCCCACGTTTTTTTTTAGGATCACTTTCTCAACTGTCGTCTGATACAAACTGGAAGTTTGGGGAACTCTTCTTTGTGTTTACTTCCGTGGGAATCACAAATAACTGAGTATTCATTGTTTCTATTATATTCTCATGAAATATGATTTTTTAATCGTTCATTTTACAGTAATAATAAATTAACAAAATTTGAAATATAATAAAATGTATTGGGCAAAATTTTATATACTTATTAAAAAGTAATCTACATATTTCGTGGCATATTAATTTTTCAAACAACCAGCCTGCGACGGACTTCAACCTATGAACTGTAAATAAACACAGACCAAAGAAAGCGAAACAATGTCCGCTGTTGGAAAGTTTCCCTGTTCTCTCTCGCGCTTCTGTTCGCTGCAAACGCTGGTATGTTGAAATACGAATGTAAACACAGTGAACGAGCTTGTATATTGTTCCTCTTCTCCTATCTTTTTTTGCTGCGATAAAGCATAGGCAGTCAACGAACTCACACTATGTTCCTCAACAGCTCACCCCAATGATGTCTAATGTCTCCCATATCTTTTTACTGTTCGGTCTGCAATTTTCTTCTCCATATTTTTAGTCTCAGTTTATTTTTTTATTTTTATTTTTTGGCCAGTGGGTTCCAGTACCTGAGATCTGGTATACTAACAGTTATTATCAGGTTTTCCCAAGGAGTACCCTATCCATCAACCGCGTCTTTTTCTCACCTCATGATTTACTGGAGTTGCACCTGTATTATATATATATATATATATATATATATATATATATATATATATATATATATATATATATATATATATATATATAAAATTTATAAAATGAAGAATATCTTGTGCAATATATCCTTGTCATTGAGAGTGAGAAAAATAATTCTTGCTTGCTACATACATCCAGTTTCAACATATGGCTGTGAGTCCTGGACAATCGGTAGGCAGGCCAAACAATTTCTTGAGGTTTTACAGAAGAATGATTAGAATACCTTGGACAGCCAAATAGAGCAACCAGGAGGTTTTGAAAGAGGCAGGAGCCCGAAGACAACTTATCACAGACATCAGAAGGAGACAGTCATCATTTTTCGGCCATGTTATGAGAAGAGGGAAAATAGAACATGTTGTGACCACTGGAAAGATCTGTGAAAGGAGGGATAGAGAAGACAACGAGAGAAGTTTCTTGACAGTCTTGTTGCATGGCATGGAGGTGTGTCGGTACACGAACTGATACATGCTGCAGGAGATCGTGGATTATGGAGAGGCATGATCGCTCACGCCAGTCTGCAAGGCACCTGATGGTGATGATATATATATATATATATATATATATATATATATATATATATACATACACTATAGTATAGTATATGTAATTACGGATACAGCGATCTCAACATTAGCTGTTATTGTAAGAGAATACAATGAATAACACTACTGACTATACTGTGTCCATCATCATGCAGCCAGTCTGCCTTAAATGAAAGACACTTGGTCTCTGACTAGCTCTCTTGCACTTTCCTACCCAAGATGACACCTACATCCTGTGCCCATCTTCGTGTTGGACGGCTTCTGCCCCTCTTTCATGGTATTGGGCCATCTGCAATAATTGTTTCCCTTTCTGCAGTGGGCACTTGATATGACCAAAATATTAAAGTTTCTGAGACAAGATGCTGTTTACAAGCCAGTCTTCCTTGATGTTCAGATCTTTAAAAATCATGGGTGTATTACTACCAGCCCAAATCAAAGCGTGCTTCAATGCAATGGAAACATCCTTCTTCACCTTGTGTTATACAATTCAAGGTTACGCCATCAGCAGGGAAGGTTATGCTTACAATCTTCTGGGTTGTCAGTGAGAGATTTTAACCAATTAAAAAAAAAAAGAGGTGACAATGTGAATGCTGATTCATACTATAAAGTTCTATTGATGCTTTATGATGCAATTCGAAGAAAATGTCCAGGCCTGCTGACTAGAGGAATACTGCTCCTTCATAACAATGTCAGACCACATACAGCTTGGTTAACTCATGAGAAAATTAACCATGTTTAATTATGTTGCAAAATAAAAGGACAGTGTGTGTGTGTACAAATAAATGGTTTTCAAGTTGTTATCTTTATTTTATTTTTTTTAAACAACTATGTGTGACTTACTTATTGACTTCCCCTCGTATTTAACCAGATAACAATGAGTACCATAAGAATGGAGATTCTTTGCTGACTGCCGATGAGAGAGACTGAGCTGATATGGGTTTTGTCCTGTATACTGTGATGACGAATCTTTACCTAGATGAATGAGATGACATTCACTTAAAATAGTTTATTACAGAAAGGACTTTTGTTTTTCTAAATTCATCTTCAGCTTTCCTATCCTGCTCTTAACTTCTTTGATACATACTCTGATACTCTGATTTTATAATTTGGCAGTATACTGCATGTTGGCAGAAGTTAAAGTAAAATGGCTGAACCATTTCACTTGTTGTTTTTAATAGAATCTAGTGCATTTTAGATGTATAACTGTATTCCATCTATTATTTAACTGTGCAGAAGACACTTGCTGAAAGAAGACTGTGTACCAGCCAAACCTTAACGTCTCCAGAACATGCCAAATATTTCCCACCGAAGACAACACCAATGCTGCCACCTGGAACTTTCACTGGGAAACTTGCCTTCATTACAGGTGGCGCCACAGGGCTGGGTAAAGGCTTGGCCTTTAATTTATCACAGCTTGGGGCAAAAGTTGTTATTGCTAGTCGGTGAGTTTGAGTAGTTCTTCTTCTTCGCATTCACCGGCTGTAAACTCTGGCGGAAAGTTCTGGTTGTTCGTCCACGTCTGGACTTTAGTTTTGTTCCGGAAAAGTGTTGCACGCACATCTGTTTCACGTCTGACTTAATTTCATGCAGACTGTTGGTTCCTTGCCTGTCAGGCAGATGTACTCTGACTTCGTAGAAAGCTCCCAATTAGTCGAACCTTACAACATGCTTTTTGGACAGGCAGTGGATCTATTCTTGTATGATAGTAAGGTATACGCACTATAATTTTGTCTCCCATGCTCTGCACGCCGCTATGTTCAAAAGGAAGGATTGAACCCATCCCTTTCAACTAGTTACTGAGTATACTAATAATGCCATGTGAAAATATTCCCCGCTGAGTGAATGACTTGGACTTAGTGTAATTAAATTATTACTGAGACAATGCCTAAGCCACCTAGGACATGCTTGGAATAATCTTAGGAAAGGGGACACTGGGCGATTTTTCTGAGAAGTGCTTTAGCGGTAAAGGAACTTCTTTTATATATCTATATATAAATGAGTATATCACGTTAAGGTAGTATATCAGGTGTAAAAGCAGCATCATGGTGCAAGCACAGAACTAAGAGTGCCAGTTTCTTCATTGTTTAAATTGTGCATATTATTGTTAAAGCTTTGCCTTCCAAGGAAGCACGATCCGTAAGTGCAATTTTATGATGAATGATTAAATTACAATTAAACCATAATGATCACTTCAAATCTCTTTTCAGAAACGTGTCGTTGAGAGAGAGAGAGAGAGAGAGAGAGAGAGAGAGAGAGAGAGAGAAAGAGAGAGAGAGAGAGAGAGAGAGAGAGAGAGGGTCAGTACTTGAGAGATAAGTGAGTTTGAGGTTTTATCAACGGATCAACATCATGGCACACCGATAGTAACCCATAAGTGCTCCGTTCTTTTTCTAACTCAACTCTGAGTCCAGAGAAGCTCAGCACAGTCCACAGTCTCTGTAACACCGGCGAGGATCCTGTAATACTTTGGGTTGTTTTTTAACTCAAAATTTTGCCTGGGCAACGCCGTAAGGCTACTCTTTTCGATTTCCAACTGCCAAGGGATTTTTTGCGAACAATGCACACCGGCATCTGATCTCAGTATCCAGAGGCCAGGGGGAATTAACTAGATGTCCAAGTCCACGTGAAAAAATCCCAGCCTTTACCGGGGATTGAACTCAGAACTCTAGCACTCGAGGCGGACACCATGCCTTGAGACCACACAGCCTTCCTAGAGATAAGTGAGTGAGGAGGACATAACATAGGGCACTCATGGCCAAATGGGCATAACCGGTCGAACCTGGCAGTTATTTAGACAGACTCTGCCACACTTGTTTTCCCCACAGTGGGGCCCCAGAACACACATGGGGAAGAACAAGATTGATTTGAATTTTCTGCTCTGGATTTTGGCAGATTGAAAGCTATGTAATAATTTTAGCTGTTTGATTCAAAAATCTTGTTCTTCATTCACTTAGAATAACTGGTCGTCCACATCTGCAGTTCTATTGCCTGCATGAACTGCACTGCCTTTAAAAAAGATTGGCAGATAAAGTTTTCAGCCCCATACAGGTTGGCATAATAAATGCAATATAAAAAAGAAATATTAAAGTTCTTATCTTCACACAAATAACAGATATTGCTCTGTGTTAAAATATCAGGTCAGATCCTTTCAGTGTGCACATGCTCCACATAATAACAATATTACGCTTGATACAAACAAATATAAGCTGATAATGTGTTGCTTGGGCCAAAAAAACTTTCAAAAACTAGGGGTAAAATAAAAAATTGAAAAAACACAGAGCGAAGGCGCCAAAGGAATTAAAGAAGAATTTAAGAGCATATTACACGGTGCATTAGTAATAGCATACAAAATGTCTTTATACATCTCCGCCCCCTTCCCCCCCCCCCCCCCACTTCCTTGAGATAATGGGAGGGAGAGAACAAGAAATAAATGACAGTGTAAAGAACGATGAGGATGATGAGTGTGAAATAAAAGGTAAGGGTAAAGTCGAGAGATGTGAACCAGCGTCATTGCACACGGTTATAAACCATAAGTGCTCTACTACCAATACGGACAGCTGATAAGAAACTGTGTCGCCGTCTGCACGCAACTCCGTAGCTACAGTGACGTTCCTCCATTTACTCTTTCAACTCTGCTACCCATTACCTAGAGGCTAGGTGAACCCCGGGAACCGTCCGGTTTCGAACACTGACCGTGGGCTGCAGTGAGTCGCAGCTGTGTGATTTACAATCTCATTTGGCAACAAGTGATTCCTGATGAAACAATGAAAATGTTGGCTTTTCTGCATGCCCGTGCATATACTAACACACAAAAAATACTCTCTCTCTCTCTCTCACACACAAACACACACATGCACGCACACATACAAGATAAAGGGTTACATCAAGTCTGCATTATATAGGAAACATTTGTACTTTTGATATTCCTAGGAGTGCGGAGAGGTTGAAGCAGACAGCAGACGAAATATCCAGTGCTACAGGCAACCCTGTATGTTTGTTTTCTATATTCTTATTCATCATTATCATTATGTATTCTATGCAGAACGTTACCCTCATCACAACATTCTGGAAGTATTCTCATCCCTTATACATCTTCATGCTGGAGATTGCTTTAATGTCCTGTGTCCACTGTCCTCCCTATATTGGTCTCTCCCTGCCTCTTTTTATCAGTAACCATGCCTTTTGTACTCTCTAAGCCACTAGAACATTTAACATGGCTAAAGTAGGTCCAGTTACTCTAGACCAGCCTTCTGAATGCTGCGACCCTTTAATACAGTTCCTCATTTTGTGGTGACTCCCCAACCATACAATTATTTTTGTTGCTACTTTGTAACTTCAGTGAAAATGTTTTTCTAATGGTCTTATGCGACCCCTGTGAAAGAGTCGTTCAACCCTTAAAAGGATCACAACCCATAGGTTGGGAACCTCTGCTCTAGACAGATACAAATAGTAATGAAGATGTCTTGAAAGAAACTGACTCACAAAGAGAACTGATTGTCCACTTCAGAAAGAGACAATCAACAATCGTTGGTCATGTCATGAAAAAGAAAATATTTGACTAAATCATGATGGTAGGAAATTTGGAGCGGGGAAGAGGGAGACCCAGAGAGAAAATGCTGGACAGTTTGACATCATGGCATGGAAGATCATCTGTGTCAGAAGAGGTTGAAAGTACACGAGACAGAAGGCTGTAGATCTCAAACTATTAGAAATGACATCGTAGTTACATAAATTTATAATAACCAAGAATAGATTGAATAACAAACACAACAGCAAATATAAACACAAAGTATTGTAATGTTGTGTCTAGAATACAACAAACATTTAAGAAAGTGGTTTGGTTGGTCAGTTTCACTGTGTTACATGTAATACCAACAAAAACAGTGCATTGTCTGAGCATTATATTTCTACTGTACTAGTATGGCTCCATTGATGTAAGTCCAAGTAATTATCCAATCATTCTTCATTTTGTATGCATAGAACTGTATCCACCATTGGATTCTCTTTATTGTATTAATGTTTTATTGTTGTATTAATGTTTTATTGTTGTATTAATGTTTTATTGTTGTATAATGTTTTATTGTTAGGTTTTGGATTTGCGATTAGATGTGAGAGACCCAGCGGCAATTAAAAGTGTCTTTGATGAGCTGGAGTCCAAACATGGTCTTCCTGACATTGTAGTCAACAATGCTGCTGGCAATTTCATTTCTCCGTCCGAGCGCTTGTCTGCCAACGCATTCCTGACAGTGATTAACATAGTGCTTAATGGCACAGCATTTGTCACATTGGACGTTGGGAAAAGACTCATCAAAGCCAAAAAAGGTGGGAATTCTGGTAGAGACTGTTGTCTTCTTGATGGAAATATATTGTTATTTTTTTGCCTACCTTCTAGATAGAAAAGTATTACTTCCTCTTACCTATAAATAGATGAAAAGTTACACTGTAGAAATAGAAACTTTATTACTTTTTTGCAGCCTTTCAAAGACTTGATAGTGTAGAGGCTACAACACAGATCTGGAACCTGACATTCACCAGTTGCCATTTAGTTTTTAAAAATAGACACCTGACACCAAAACTCCCAGAATGCCTTGAAGGTATGTGAAAAAAAATGATGTAATGACCGCCCACTGAAGGTTGACTACAGTACCACTGTGTCTTTGGGTATATCCATGGTGAGGTCTAAGTCTCTTTCATGGTGCTACTTTTGTACTACAGTCCACGAGAAACAAACACTCAGCTTCTAAAATAAGACTAAAGTCCAGAGGCAGACGAAAAATCAGAACTTTCCTCCAGAGTTTACAGCCGGTGAACACAAAGAAGAAGAAGATTATTATAGTTACAAGAAGCATGTTTCTTATTTCTGCATTTGTAGATTTTATTCAGAACATCAAGTGTCTGTTGAATTCACTTCAGTTTAAATGTAAAGATATTATGGCTTATGCTGTGACAATAAAACCAACAAATACAAAAACATTTCAAGTTTTCTTATTAAGTTTCTTCATTGTTCAATGCAGTTTTTTTTTTTAACATATAGTTTTATCTCTGGATTTAATTTGTTTCCCCTATTAATATTCAGAAAAGATGGTTAAATTGTTTCTGTCTTTTTTTGACAGACATGAAAAAGCTCTAATTCTTTGGCACTGTTTAAGAGGAGAATATATTTCCTGCATTTTCTTCCACTTATTTCATCCTTATAAAAGGCTTTAGTTTGTTGCCTTTTACAGTATGCATGTTAGTGGATAGTGGGTTATTCTCCCCCCCCCCCCCCCCATCCCCCAACGGGACATGAATGCACATGGGGAATCTAATATCCAAGTTGGGTCGGGCAGAGACAGTACTTCAACGGGTGATTTCACTTCCAGACGTAAACCATAGAGAGCAACACAACACAAGCAGTACTTTGTGGTGGTTGGTTATCACCCTGACGAGACAGTGCCATGTTTTGGCGCCATCAGTAGTTGACGCAGAAGGGAAAGTGTTCGTGGAGGAACACACATCACCGAAAAATGCTGTTATCTATACAGTTGGTTCTGTGATTCGTCACAAGCAAAGTGCACGGGTTTTCACGGCAATAACCAAAAGGAAACTCAACAAAGAAGACTTTTGCTTCTACCACCTGCAGCATGACAATAGAGGCCATGGCTGTGACAAATGCCCTAGAATGGCTGAAAACTCAGGAATTCACCAATACATGTTTGCTCAGTGACTCAATGAGCATGCTACAGAAGATCAAGGTGGGCTACATATGGAAACAGTGGCTTAATCTGATACAGCATGCAGAATTTCAAGAAAATCACTGTTTTTGTCCTATAGCATGATGGTGTGAAAGGCAAAGAGAGAGCAGATGCCCTGGCTGGCAGTGCGACTACCAGGAATGGGCCATCTATGAACAGGAGAGCATTCATGCGGGAGGCTAAATGCTGTGGGGCTTTCAGTTTTGTGGGAAATTATTTTTGACTGAATAGACTCCCTAAGTGTACCAAATGTGAGACAGGTGAGCTGCTGTCGATACATCAACCAGAACAGAACGGGAGTTGTTAGCCTAAAAACACTTGGAGACATGCTGAGGAGGAGATCGGAGCAGTTATGGTCATGTCCGATGTGCTGTGAAGATGATCTTCAAAATGAACAATGAATCTGAGGTAGGGAATTAATTTCCATAATTATAAATTAATTGAACGTATTATAGGCTTTATAATTTTTGCTTCTTGTTATGTTGTCTCTTAGACCTTGAATGTTTTAGAGCAGTGTCTCCCAAACTTCTCTTGGTTGCGGCCCCTTTTTTCAATTAAAATTTTTCTACGGCATCCTAACCTAAGTAAACGTATGACTATTCGTGTCTTAGTTAAATTAATTATGAAGCTTTTACGGTATTTCGCTCTGCCCCTGGGAATAGGTCATGGCTCCCCGGGATGCCGCGGCACACAGTTTAGGAATCACTGTTTTAGAGAGAAAATAAGTAATCTAGCCACTAAACATATTGTTTTGCTAAAATGTGTCTTTTAGGAGCAGTATTTCTAGCAGTATCAGCTGATTATGCAGATTCAGGCTCAGGGTTTGTTATCCATAGTGCTGCAGCCAAAGCTGGTGTCGAGGCTTTGACACGGTCACTGGCTTCTGAATGGGCACGCTACGGGATGCGATTCAACGCCATCTCTCCTGGACCCATAGAAACTAAGGTCAGTTCTTAGCATTTTTGTGTTGGTGAAAGGAAAATCAGTGATCCTGACTTGTACAAAAGGCTGATTTACAAGGGGTATATACTGTGGTCCTGCCTTTTCTGAATTTATGTATGATTTGAGTAAAATAAAATAAAAAATAAAACCTGCCCTGCAGGTAGCATGGGGGCAGTTCTTCTTCACCAGCTGAAAAACTGATTGTTCATTCACTTTTGGGCAGTTTTTGTGTGTGCACATCTGTTTTACAGATCTTGCTTTTTTTTTGTATGCAGACTGTTTATTCCTCGCTTTTTGGGCAGATGCACTCTGACTTTAAAGGAAAGACCCTTAATTAATCAACTTTTAAAAAACAATTAGGGGCAGGTTGGGTTCACAGCTGGCTACCCCATCCTATAGAAAACAACAACCACAAAAACCAGCCAGCCAGAAGTAAGTAATAAACAGTAAGTCGTGATGGGGCGCTCTCTTAATAGAAAAATTAAATTTAAAAAGTTAACAAGGGCATGGGGTAAGCTGCATGCAGTAGCAAAGGATAGAACAGTTTTGTGTAAATGGGTTGAGTGCTTATACTCCATTTGGGAAGGAGGGCAAGGGCTGAAGAAGACGACGACTTGTGGTGTTTTAGTTAGGACACAAAGTTTAGGAAGATAACTGTAACCATATTTTTGTGTCTTATCCCAGGGTGCCTTTAGCCGCTTGGACCCAACAGGTCAGTTCATGGACACATTCATCAAACGGATTCCACTTGGGCGGCTAGGTGCGGTAGAAGAGTTTGCCAATCTGGCATCTTTTCTTGTCAGTGACTACTCCAACTGGATTAATGGCCAGGTACAATATTTGTTGCATCCCCCTCTACCCCCCAACCCCTTCTGTAGCTATCCGAAGACAGGCACTGAAATGGGAAACTGAGGGATTGAAGAAATGAGGAATTTAAGAGAAACCCTCGAGCAGATGTTGAGAAGATCAATCAAAGATACTGGGCTGGATTCCAGCAATGATGTCAAAGAGATTGCATGAGATAGATCGGAAGGGAGAAATAGACTACGAGCCTTATGTGATGACATATGGCACAGCGGGCAGGACAATTGGAGGTGTAGGTAGGTCTTGACCAGTATCAGCCCTATTCCTGCTGCACCACTAGGTGTCACTCAGCACCTTTAGATCCCAGTCATCTCCAGTTTTCCTGTTCTCGCCAACCGGAGGACAGAATCTGACATTAACCCCCACCCCCTTTTCCCAACTTCAGAGCATAAGAGAAACAGTTTAACCACTTCTCAGTGGAGAGCACGGATAATACTAACTTGGTGGTGATGATGACAATTTACGAGTAAAGACAACAGTAGTTTCAGTAGCTCAACATTATATCTTTCAGAGAAAAGCTCATACAAAGCATATTCATTTGCTACCGATGCCAGCCATAGTCACTCACAATAGATCAGAAAAGAATATTAGAAACTATCTTCTTCTTCTTCTTCTTCTTCTTCTCCTTCGCATTCACCAGCTGTAAAATCTGGCAAAAAAGTTCTGGTTGTTCATCCACTTCTAGACTGTAGTCCTGTTCTAGAACCTGAGTGTTGTGTGTGCATCCATTTTTACAGATCTGACTCATTTGTATGCAGACTGCTGGTTCCTTGCCTCTAAGGCAGATGCACTCTGACTTTGAAGGAAGCTCCCAATTAGTCGACTCTTACGACATGCTTTTGAGTAGGCAGTGGGTCTATTCTTGTTTTCCCTCTAACAGGGCCCCCAAACCCCCACATGGATATTAGTAACTATGAATTGAGATGTAGGAGAAGGGCTGCAGGAGTGATTTTTAAAAAAATCAGCAATGGAGTCATAAAAGAAAAAAGTCATCACAGAACCGACACTTAGTTACACACAATGACAACAATTACAATGGTTTACCCACTTAGAGAGAATCCCTTGTAATTCAGTACCATACAAAGCATACACCAGATGAGGAGAGGGATGTAGAGCATAAGGTAGACCAAGAACAAGATGGAAAGATACCATTAAAGAAACTCTACAACAGCACAGTGTGCCTACGGTTGAGGCAGCTGAAAGACCAAGAAGAAAAACCTTACAACTTCCGTGACCCCTGAAGTTAGTTGCATATCCTTTATAGGATGTTGCAAAATCAAAAGCCAGCTTAGTTTTTCTACGCAAAATTGTAGTTCAGTTGTTAGGACCCCTGAAGAGAGAGTGAAAAAGAAGACGAGAACCTAGTATGCTTACATTATTCATTATAAACCCATTTCAGGTCATCCGCTTAAATGGAGGTGAATATCCATGTACGGCAGGTCTCTTCAATGATCTCAAGCAGGTATCCAATGAACAGTGGGATGCTCTGGAAGCCATGATCAAGTCCGTAAAAGGATCTTAATTGTAGAAACACAGAAGCATCTTAAATGAATTACACTGCATGTAAGAAAAAGGTGTGTTTATAATCTAGTGGTGCAACTTTGACTACATTTCGCAGTTCATATGTAATGTATAGTAAAAAAAAAACAGCCAAATAATGGCTAAATATTTTCTGTATTTACCATTTTGCTAATATGCAGATTATTGCAGACGAAACCGAAACAATGCAAGTCAGTAGAACCCCTGGCCTACTACACATAGAGCTGAATCAAGTCAGGGAATTTTAATATCTAGGAAGTGTAATTACAGAAGACAGCAGAACTGACAGAGAAAAGTAACCAGATGTCAGAAAGCAAGTGCACTTATATACCAGTGTCATGATTATTAAGACATCCAAACACAACTGAGAGTGTGAGAAACATTAATGTTAAAAGATCTTTTTCAGGCCCTTGGTGCAGCCAGAACTCAGTACTAGACCTTTATTTGCATACACCAGTCCCTACTCCATGGATGATGTGGTCTAGTCTTATCTAGCAGAGAATTCCATTCTGTCAGTCTCAAAAGATCATAGCTAATGCCCAAAATTTGAGGTATATTGCATCCCCAGGGACTAAATGTACAACAACATGTAGCAGGCAAAAACATATATAAGAGTGACACATAGTTCACCGGTTGATACCTTAAGTGTTCACGGTACAGTATCACCTACTGATCACCATGGATGTGATACCTGAAGTGTTCACGGTACAGTATCACCTACTGATCACCATGGATGTGATACCTGAAATGTTCACGGTACAGTATCACCTACTGATCACCATGGATGTGATACCTGAAGTGTTAACGGCACAGTATCACCTACTGATCACCATGGATGTGGTACCTGAAGTGTTAACTGCACAGAATCACCTACTGATCACCATGGATGTGGTACCTGAAGTGTTAACTGCACAGAATCACCTACTGATCACCATGGATGTGGTATCTACGTTGGATGATAGTAAAGTAAAGAACTCTTTTCCACACCTTCAGACATATTGGGCATATAGGGCTAGACCTATATTTCAGAGACCAGTCTTCAATCGATGGGTGATGTGATTAACATGATGCCGGCCACTTTTACTTCCTAAGACTTTACCTTGTACCTTTTTAAGGCTGGATCAGTCTGGAAGCCAAAGTCATTTTTTTTAAATTCTGGCTGTGTCAGGACCTAAACCCACGACCTTCTGATCCACAGGCGAGCATGCAGCCGTTACACCACTGATTGCAAATATCACACGGCGACAGTCTAGAGAACTGATTGCATACATCACACGGTGACAATCTAGAGAACTGATTGCATACATCACACGGTGACAATCTAGAGAACTGATTGCATACATCACACGGTGACAATCTAGACAACTGATTGCATACATCACACGGTGACAATCTAGAGAACTGATTGCATACATCACACGGCGACAATCTAGAGAACTGATTGCAAATATCACACGGCGACAATCTAGAGAACTGATTGCATACATCACACGGTGACAATCTAGAGAACTGATTGCAAATATCACACGGCGACAGTCTTGAGAACTGATTGCATACATCACACGGCGACAGTCTAGAGAACTGACTGCATACATCACACGGCGACAGTCTAGAGAACTGATTGCATACATCACACTGCGACAATCTAGAGAACTGATTGTATACATCACAGGGCGACAATCTAGAGAACTGATTGCATACATCACACGGTGACAATCTAGAGAACTGATTGCAAATATCACACGGCGACAGTCTAGAGAACTGATTGCATACATCACACGGTGACAGTCTAGAGAACTGATTGCATACATCACACGGCGACAGTCTAGAGAACTGATTGCATACATCACACGGCGACAGTCTAGAGAACTGACTGCATACATCACACGGCGACAGTCTAGAGAACTGATTGCATACATCACACGGCGACAATCTAGAGAACTGATTGTATACATCACAGGGCGACAATCTAGAGAACTGATTGCATACATCACACGGTGACAATCTAGAGAACTGATTGCAAATATCACACGGCGACAGTCTAGAGAACTGATTGCATACATCACACGGCGACAATCTAGAGAACTGACGGCGACAATCTAGGGAACTGATTGCATACATCACACGGCGACAATCTAGAGAACTGATTGCATACATCACACGGCGACAGTCTAGAGAACTGATTGCATATATCACACGGCGACAATCTAGAGAACTGATTGTATACATCACATGGCGACAATCTAGAGAACTGATTGCATATATCACACGGCGACAGTCTAGAGAACTGATTGCATACATCACACGGCGACAGTCTAGAGAACTGATTGCATTCATCACACGGCGACAGTCTAGAGAACTGATTGCATACATCACACGGCGACAGTCTAGAGAACTGATTGCATACATCACATGGCGACAATCTAGAGAACTGACGGCGACAATCTAGAGAACTGATTGCATACATCACACGGCGACAGTCTAGAGAACTGATTGCATTGATCACACGGCGACAATCTAGAGAACTGATTGCATACATCACATGGCGACAATCTAGAGAACTGATTTCATACATCACACGGCGACAGTCTAGAGAACTGATTGCATACATTACACGGCGACAGTCTAGAGAACTGATTGCATACATCACATGGCGACAATCTAGAGAACTGATTGCATACACCACACGGCGACAGTCTAGAGAACTGATTGCATACATCACACGGCGACAGTCTAGAGAACTGATTGCATACAGCACACGGTGACGGTCTAGAAAACTGACGGCGACAATCTAGAGAACTGATTGCATACATCACACGGCGACAGTCTAGAGAACTGATTGCATACATCACACGGCGACAGTCTAGAGAACTGATTGCATACATCACACTGCGACAATCTACATTTTTTATATATATATATCATGAGAAGGAGAAAAACTGGAACAGTTTTGCACTTTGCGAAAGTCCAGTGTATTTAGTATAAATTATGTTTTCTTTTCCAGAATTCCTAATGTTACAATGACCAGAAATTTGCGTGTGCATCCGTTTTACAGATCTTGCTTATGTGTATGTAGACTGTTGGTTCCTTGCCTTTCAGACAGACGCGCTCCGACTGAACCTATTACAGTGGCGCTGAAAATGTACCTTAAAAACACCAGGTATTTTCAGCTGTGAGAGTCTTCAGCTTAATTACTAGGCCAGTGTTTCCCAAAGTGAGCGCTACCGCCCCCTGGGGTGGTTTAGGAGACGGTAGCTTCAAAATAAGGGGTGGGTCTTGAACGATCGGGGGAGGGGGCGGTAGAGACCTCAGGTGCAGTTATGGTCAATTAATAAACACAATGCAGCGGTTCAGAAAACGAAATAGAGAAAAGTTTTGCTTTTAAAATATAGGTCGGGAAAATAACATTTTCATTAAGTGTTTTAGGTAAGTAAATACAGTTTTGTCGGCTCTGTGGCTAAGTCGATGCGAACGCTTCGTAATGCCGGGACGCCGTGTTCGATCCCAGCTGCGGGCCATGCGCCTTGCGTTGGTTTCGACAGTGGTATCAAGAAAGCCGACCGTCCAGGGGCGATGGCAAACTACTGGACGTAAATTTGCCTAGAAAAACCACACAACAACCAGGGGCTGTTGGGGTTGGTTCTGCAGCGTCCTTTAAAGGATACGCAACCAACCCAACCTAAATATAGTTAAGTATAAAAGCAACAATTTTCTTTTTCTGTGATTGCGAAATAGTTCATGATTCACACATGTCTGCTGTCTGAGGAAAGATGCATTTTGTAGCGTATTTCCATATTTCTGTTAAAGGGTAAATAAAATTTGTTAAAAATATGCAAACACGATTTCATAAAATTACAATGTCTGAAAGGATTAGTAATGTGTCTTTTCCCGCCCGCGCTACGGCTATTGAACGTTCCAGATACGACAGAGGAAACTATGAAATTCCGTGTGCGCCAATGTAAACAAATTGTATTTGTGGTGCACACAAATCGACTAGAAATTACTGCTTTCGACTAAGAATAGTTTATTGAGTGAAGTTTGTTTTTGCTCGCCCAGGAAACCGATACAAACAAAAAACAACGTGTACAGTTTAAGGCTAATAATTAAAGCAACTCTGGTGCTTAAAGGTTGCTGAATGCGTTTCACAATACTCGAGGTAGAAGGTTCGATTTTCGCAATAGATTGCTCTGAAAAAGATTGTTTTCGTGTCTACTGGACAGTCGTAAGAGAGTAGCACTGCAGAAGACACTGGGACCCCAGCAGGGGATCTTGAACCTGGGAGTTTGGGCCCACTGAGCCAACCTACCCCTCAAACAACACGAGGGGTGGTGACTGAGCAAGGGGCGTGTGTGGGGTGGGGGCGGTGGGGGCCGCACAGGACGTCATCATATGTGTTTTTAACATTTAAAAACTGTGTTTATGAATGTGTGTGGATATGGGGTAAAACAGAAAATCTTCATCACCGGGTACCACCTGACGTTGCAATGCTACTGGGAGTGACAGGATATTTTCCGCACCGGGTACCACATTGCAATGCCACTGGAAGATGACAAGAAATAGTCCGCCCCGGGTACCACGCAACCTTGCAATGCCGCTGAGAGTGACTTTACATTTTCCGCACCAGGTGCCACATGACCTTGCAATACCACCGAGTTAAGCCCCTTAGACGATGTTTTAAAAAACGGGGGGGGGGGTCGGAAGGTTGGGTCGGTGGGGGGGGGGGGGTAAACGAAGGCCCCCCAGCCCTAAAAATGGACAGATGTACTCTTGTTCAGTAAATGGTTTACAGTGTCATTTCATTTAAATGGTTATGGGCTAGAGAGAATGGTACAGCTAGGAGTGACCACACTCTACCCTGAGTGCTACCCTATCCTGAGTGCTACCCTATCCTGAGTGCTACCCTATCCTGAGTGCTACCCTATCCTGAGTGCTACCCTATCCTGAGTGCTGAGATTTCAGTTCTTAGCTAAACATTCAACGACA